GCCTGATGTGGGGCTTGAAGTTAAGAAATGTGAATCATGACCTGAGCCGAGATCAAGAGTTGGATGCTTAACTAACTGCGCCATCCAGGGACCCCCAGTCTTTGGTTAAATCTAGTTTGTTTGATGTAAGTATTGCTACTCTGGTTTCCTTTTGACATCCATTTACGTGATAAATATTTCTCCATCCCCTCACTTTCAACGCGCAGGTGTCTTTAGGTCTCAAGTGAGTCTCTTGTAGGCAGCATATGGAGGGGTCTTTTTTACATTCAGCATAATTACTGACATGTACTTAGAGCCATTTTATTGCTTTTTTTGTTGTTGTTTCTGGAAAATCTCTCGGGTCCTCTCTAGTCCTTGTCACTTTTGGTCTTTTCCCTCCTACTCAAAGCTTCTCCTTTAATATTTCTTGCAGAGCTGGTTTAGTGGTCACAAACCCCTCTAGTTTTTGTTTGTCTGGGAAACTCTTCATCTCTCCTATTCTGAATGACAGTCTTGCTGGATAGAGTATTCTTGGCTGCAGATTCTTCTCATTCAGCGAGCTGAACTTCTGGCTTGCCAAGTTTCTGTGGAAATATCTGCTGCTAATGTTTAGCACTTCCCTTATAAGTGAGGGACTTCTTTTGTCTTGCTGCTTTTAGGACTTCTTCTTTATCACTATATTTTGCAAACTTAACTACAATATGTCTTGGTGTTGGCCTGCTTTTGTTGATCTTGATGGGAGCTCTCTGTGCCTCCTGGATTTGGATGTCTGTTTCCTTCCCCAGGTTAGAGAGGTTTTGGGGAAGTGCTTTCCTTGTGTGATCCTGTGTGCTCCTCATCCCCCCTCTCTCCTACCTCTCTCCACGACCAAGGCTCCCTTCCCTCCACAGAAGCCGCGATCCACTTCTCCCCATTTCTCCCCCAAACCATGTCTCTGTACTTCCTACCTTCCTCAATGTAGCCTCTTCTCTCCCTCTAGTTGTGCACTTTGTTCTGTCAGCCCTCAGGTCAATTTCTTGGGTGTTCAGAATGATCTGATAGTTATCTAGCTGTGATTGAGGGATGAGGCAAGCCCAGGGTCCTGCTACTATGCTGCCATCTTAGCTTGCCCCCCTCCCACTTCTATCTGTTCTGTATTTATTGAAACAAACCCATGTATGTTAAGTGCACCTGTGCAGTTCACCGCAGTTGTTCAAGGGTCAGCCGTTTGTACAAATATCAAATCATTATGCTGTTTGTCTACCTGCCACTAATATAACATTATATGTCAATTACAACTCAATAGAAAAAAAGACTATTATGTCCCCCCACTGACTGACCTAGACATCTTTTAACTACCTTTAATTACCTAGTATTCTCTATAGTTATTCATTCATAAAGTTGTTACAGGTTGCATTTACTTAGAAATGTTTAACTTTCTTTAAAATTGCTTACAATACTGGATATATCACATTTCAGATAAAATAAATGAACAAACACCAAAAGGACACGAACATCTGCTGTTTACCCAGCAGAGGTTACAGGTTTGTGTTTGGTTGTTAGCATGTCCCCACTGCGACCAGGGCATGGATTTGTGAGCCAGCTCTGGAACAGCTGGCCTGAGGTTACTAAAAAGAGAGGTTTGCTTAGGGCAAACTCAAGACCTCGGTTTCACTGACCCTATGTTTCAACTAACTACACTATGTAGCTTTTAAGAACTTAAAACATTTTCTAGAGACAACAAATTAATTCTGCAATAAAATTTAGAGTTTTTTCATTTTTCAAATGTAGTGCTACTTATTGATAAGCATTCTAACTCCTTTATCTTGGAAGAGATCTGTACTAAAAAGAAAAACAGCCTACTAGAGGGTGGAAGGGTTTAGCCAGTGAAAAGAAGCTTCCCCAGGACACCACCAGTCTTGCAGCCACAGAAAATGATAATACAGGATGTTTACATGAATGAATCGGGCTTATTATACTAGGTCACTCAGAGTGGTAAAAATATACCGCAGCTGGAAAAACAAAACCGAGGGGACCGAGACCCTGTGCTGTAAAGAAAGGAAGCAGGCAGACCCCTCCTCGCTGCCTTTCAGCAGCCCCGGCCTGCGGGCACTTGCCTCACTGGGCGTGTTGTCAGACGTGGGTTAACTGTGTCTGAGCGGCAGCCCAGTCAGACCTCAGCCCGAAGCAGCTTTCATCACAATGGCCAGTGCCTGTGCAGGGCACAGCCACCCCCAGTGACTAATCCTGCACAGTAACCACTCGCTGTTCCAGACTCACTGTTGAAATAAAGGACTCATAATAATTTCCCGAAAAAGAAGCTGTTAAAGCATCACTTAGCTTTTGTCAAATGTTTGATTCCTTTGTGACAGGATAAGTCATGCTGTGTAACATGGACCACCTGTCACTTCCTCTGAAAAGCATTATTTTTCTCTGAGCAGATTTCAAGGACCCTCCTCTTCCAAGCCACAAAACCATCCTTCCTCCCACCAGGCTCTGTTTCAGGTGCACAGACAGCCACTACTTCCTCAACCAGTGATTCATCATCGCCAGTGCACAGTGTGTCATTACCCGGATCAATTCTGACGCCAACACAATTCAAAGCAGCCAAACCTTTCCCAGATGTTAAATGTTTACTGCTGACAACTGCTTAGCTGGTTTCGAGGTTTGCAGGATCAGAGCTCCAAACAGCAAAATTATATATAAATGCATATCACATCACAGTATAGTGGTTCCTTTTGGAACATGACAAGGATGGGCATCTGTGAGATTCCAGGAGGCCCGGGGTGTTCCATGGTCCATATATGTTCATTCGCCTCCAGGACTGAATTCCTTCTCCCTTTCTTGTGTCTAAAATGCTTTTTTTGTGCCAAATTCTCAATAAAGAGAAAAGCTGGGGGACATGGTGGTGGTGGAAACCACACAGCTGCTACATGGAGATGACAGGTCTTCGTCCTCGGAGACGCTGCCTTCAGGAGAAAACGGTGCGGTGGCAGCAAGGCGTGGCTGCTGGGGCTGGACTCTAACCGTAAAGGAGTCTGAGCTCCTCTGGATAGACTGTGAGTACATGCATTTCTGCCAGAAGAGAAAACAGCTGTCCGGGAAGAAGAGAGTGTGACAGACTGTTCTGGATTCAAAACTAGGTCCAAATTCTGCTTTACCACCCATGTACTTCCCGGCCTGAGTTTTTTCAACCTCCTTGACCTGACTTTTTTTTCTTCTATTAGTGGAGAAAAGTGCCTGCTGAATAGGGTTCCTGTGGAGACTGAGGGAGGACACACGGGAAGGACAAGCACTTAGTTGGACTTGGTCCTGGCTCCTCTTCAGGTCTTCCTCGGAGTAATGCTTTAGAGAACTGCAGTCGGCCAAGGTCTAAAGACATGTCTAACTCAATCACTGGGCCTAAGGAAAAGAGTTCGCGCTCTGGGGGATGGGAGAATTACAGCATTTCAGAGACCCTTATGGACGAATTCAGAGAAGTCTCCACCTTTCAGAAAGCCATCCAGAGTTGCTGCCTCAAGGCCTGAAGCTAGTCGTTGGTGATGCCATTATGGCTACTACTTAAGGGCAGGGGTTACGAGCTGGTGGTACCTCAGAATACTACAGGCACTAGAATAATACGTGGGGACAACTATCATGAACAGACAGTGTTATAACTACTTCTTGGTTAATCTTATTTAATCCTCCTTGTGATTCTCTAAGGCAGGTACCATGAGAGTCCCTGTGTTACAGATGAGAAGACTGAGGCACAGAGAATTAAGTATCTCCCACTAAGAAATAATGGAGGGAGACTCGTGGCCTGTGGGGTCTGACTCGAGAGCTCATGCTCATAACCACAATGTCTCCCTTCTAGGTAACATGAACTTTTCATGGTCACAGAGAGTTCCCGTCCGTGGCTCTATTTCAGGATGGCTGGTCAGTCGGCCACAGGGCAGGTTATAACTCTTCCTTTTTTCACTCGATGCAGGGGTGCAGGAAACTGATAAGGCCTTTTCTGAGTTTACTCTACTAAATAAATAAACTCACACAAAAACGAATGTTATATTCTACCCAGAGGCAGATGTGTCTTCCGTGACGACAACTTACAAAGACCCTTAGCTGTAATAGTAACTACTAATGATATCTTTGTTCCTTGCAATTTTCTGTCATTTCACTTCACTGGTGTATCTTTCAAACTTGGGGAGCTCGCAGCTTACTTAAGCACTAGATGGGAGGAAAGAAGGTGAGCCTCCACCTCCTGAGGGAGGTATAAAAGGCAGTTGCTGGGAAGCCAGGCCTGGAGTGCTGAGACAGTCTGAGAGAGCCCTCATGGAGGAAGGTCCCCTGACCACTTGGTTCTGAAGCCACAGTTCAGTCAAATCCCTGGGATGGGACTTGTGTCCTTACACCTGGGAAGAGGAGCTCCGTGTGGCCCACCGTCACAAGGGGAAGGTGGGAGAGCCAGATCTGTACCATAAGCCAGAAGAATCTATGGAGCAGGTTTAAAAATAGCACAGCTCAGCAGGGAGTCCCTGGAGCACCTGTTTTCCTCAGAGCAGAGACAAATTTGTATCGGGAAGGAAGAGCTGAGGGATGACAACAGGTGGCCGCGCTTATTGAAACCCGACAGAAGAGAGTGTTAAAAACTCAGCTTGACAAGTAGGTTGTGAGAACGGCTCGAAGGAGCTCCCTGCGAGAGAACTAAAGACTACAACACGCGGCAAGTGCCTTTCAAAGGGAGCAAAAAAGTGATATGCCGTAAGCACTGCAGAGGATCCAAACTTAACATGTAATCACAACAACGAGGGGTAAAAAATTATTTCGCAGATTTAATTAAAGCTTAAAACTTGGCAAGTTCTCACAACAGCATAATAGTTGAATAAAGAAGTAGGATCTTTCTCTTTTCATCAAGTGATATACTTATTCAAGGGGAACGAAAAGCAGGATTCTAGTTTTATTTATTTTTACTCTACTGGTTTCTGGAAAGAGTTTCCATTTGCCCTGGAATACGTGCTCTGCGTGTTCTCCAGCGAAGCCTCACTGGGAGCGACTCTGCCACTCACCTGAGCCCCGCGGTCATTGACCAGTTCCACGGACCACCTCCCTTCGTACTGAATCCACACGAAGATCCCTCCATCTGCGTCACACGTGGCCAGCTTCTGGTACGGCTCATTCCACCTCACCAGCACAACCTAGAAAACAGCCAACAAGATATTTACTACAGGGACTGAAGCAGAGGGCCAGGAGTCAGCATCCAAAGAGATTAGACTTCAGAGCTAAAGAGGAGACACGGTCAAGGGGAATGAATGACTGAGGGCAGGTGTGGGGATTAGCACAAGGGACAGGGCATGGCCCACAGGTGGCAGAGTCACAGGGAATGAGACCCTCCATGACGAGGGTTCCTGAAAAAGTGCAGAAACCTGAGCAAACCACAAACCGTGGCACAAAAATACCCACTGCTATAAAAGTAGAGAGAGGATCCAGAGCCCATCTGGACCCAGTCCTGCCTCTCACAAGTACAAGACTAGTTGCAGCATCTAAATAATTTAGAAAAAAATACTTGAAATGTCTAAGCTATTAAGTACTTATCAGAGAGAAAACAATGAAATTATAAGCCTCAACATTTGTGAGTATGACAAGCTGATTTTTTAATTTGAAAAATTCTGAACCTGGACAAATTACTCATCTTTCTGGACTATCACTCCTTCACCCAAAAGGTGGACTGTCTGGGAGGTGATCTGTGGGAGTAGGTAAATGCCCAAGGAGACTCAGGGCAGGACTCACAGTGGCTATGAAGGACACAGGGCTATGAAGTGGTTCTGGGAGTCCATGAGCCACAAAACCAATACCCTGCCTTCAATTGGGTGAACTCTCTCTGAGTGTTGCCTGACTGGCCCATGCTGGTGATCATGAGGAATTCATTCAATCGGTCAGACGTGGTTGGTACTTATTAGGTTCAGACTATGTGACCAATGTCAAGATAAAGAACACCAGACCCCATGCTTAGGAAGCTAAAAATCTATCTGGGAGTCAGCACATCCAATGATGCAAAGACATACACGGATGTGTGACAGTCAAATGAGCACTGTCATTAGCCACCCAGCACACAGCTGCTATTCATAAGGAAGATCTGACTCCCCTGTCTCCCCCCAGGACTTCACACCCAGGAAACTAACAACCCTCATGGACATGCAGCACTTTTCCAAATTCCAAAACAGCCAGCAAGTGGGGCGCCTGGGTGGCTCTGTCAGTTAAGCGTCTGGCTCTTGATTTCAGCTCAGGTCGTGATCGCGTGGTTTGTGGGATAGAGTTGTGCTGTCAGCGCAGAGTCTGCTTGGGATTCTGACTCTCCTTCTCTCTCTGCCCCTTCCCCACTCATGCTCTCTCTCTCTCTCTCTCTCTCTCAAAATAAATAAACAAACATTTAAAAAACAATAATAAGAAATAAAATAGCAAGCAAGGCCAAGGACAGACTGTCAAGGACCTCTGCAATGTCTAGACCCCTCCTCACACCCACCTGTGTCCAAGCCACAGAGTAACACAAAACCCCTGTTCCTTCTCAAACCTGTGTCAAGGGCACACCTGATTTTAAGCCTTTAATTTGGTTTTCAGTTACTAGAGAGCTGGAGGGGCCCCCAGCCTCGCTCTGCCACAGGTGGCCAGATCAGCACTTATTGTGAGATGCATAATAAAAATCCAAGAGGAAATTATTGCCCACTTAAAATTTAAGACACTGTAGCTCTCTTTTACAAAGTGCAAAACAAAAAAAATCAAAGACAGCTGTGAGGCTGCACGCCTCCGAGGCCTGGCAATCACCTGGCAGGTCTCCCTTGTCGATGGCTCCCACGCCAGAGTCCGCTGTCATGGATGCGGACGCCAGCCACACCTGGGGCGGCCCCACCCTGCTTTCTCCTCGCCGGACGGGCTGCCCCACACTGCCCCCACTCTGCAAGTGCAGCACGTGCACTGTCCACCGATGACTGCTGGTTCGCGTGCACGCGGCCCCACTGAGCTGTGCGCCCGAGAAGGGGACAGGGGCAGGCTCACCTTTGAACACGGACACAGTAATTCTGAGTGTGTTGTGCCAAAGATTACTATGTAATTAGAAGTTATGACCTGTATTCAATTATATCTTTGAACTATGAGAGGTTACTGAAAACAATGTCCAGAAGGTTATTTTTAATGGCGAAAGGCATTTTAACAATGGTCAACTCTGCCTCCCTGCACACTGTGAACTGCAGGTGCTGAGGATGGAGAGGAAGCCATCTTTGTGCTCGTAGAGTTCAGTTCACTAACCAGACCTAATACAGTGCTCTACATGCACTTATGGAGTTGTGAACGTACACAGGAGGGGGCCTCAACACAGGTGGAGGGGGAACAAATGCAGTTTCATTTTTTTAAGTCCAGTTTTTAAAACTCCCAATTTGAGAGGCTCTTATGGTTTGCCTTCCTCTGTTTTTATCTTATTTTCCTTCACTTACCCTATGTTCATCTGTTAAGTTTCTCAAATTCCACATAAGAGTGAAGTCTTACCAACTGAGGGTTCATGGTGGGAAGGGTGTTTACTGGGTGATGGGCATTAAGGAGGGCACTCTTTGGGATGAGCACTGGGTGCTCATATGTAAGATGAATCACAGGGTTCTACTCCTGAAGCCAAGACTACCCTGTAGTTAACTAACTTGAGAATAAAGAAATAAAAAAGAAAATTAAAAAAAAGAAAAATATCAGTCTAAGAAGATTAAAAAAATTACTGATCTAATTAAAAAAAACCATAACATCAACAGCAACAGAAGTCTTTTAATGACACTGCATGTGTCATAAAATTGAGAATTCCCAGTCAATAAAGACCAACTTCATAAACCTCTTTCAGAGCCAATGATTTGGCCTGAGCACTGCAATCAACTAATGTGCATGCAGCTACATTTTGGTCCTTAAAGACACACATTCATTGTTCAAGTCCACAATCACTGATGTACTTCAGAATGGCCACCATGGGATGGAATATGACCAGTAAGTACGTGATATTCACAGCTAATCAGTTTTTAAATTATTTCCTTACGTTAACACAGAGACCATTCATCTGCTGTGACCTTCCCTGTAAATACCATTTGACAAGGTGTCATATTTTAGAAAATAAAGGTTAATGACGTTTTCTGTACTTCTGTCTTTCTTCCTTTAACATCCATTGCCAGGCATGGTTGCATATTAAGTTAACATCAATAATAAAAACCCTCTTCTTCACGGAAACTGCCGCAAAGTCATAGCATGAAACAGACACAAAAGAGCAAAGGCCAAAAATAGCTTTTTTTTCACTTTAAAGATTTCTTGGTCTTATGACAACACGATAGTACTTGTTGAATAAATAAAAGGTTCACAGACTTCATCTTTTTGTAATTCTTGATTAGTACGGATGCAGCAGTAAATGGAAATGTAGTCCCCATTCACACACCTTTGCTGTGAGTTCTAACCAGTTTAACTGAATAGGCGGGTAGCTCCCCTAACTTACAGAAAGAAATCTTTCCAATGATTCCTCATTTAAAAATAAAGTCAAACTGTTAATGTTGTTTCCGCGGATTAGAATTCTCATTTCCTCTCTCATCTACAATTCATAGCTGCCTGCCTTATCTCCCAGCAGCTTATTTCCTGTTCCCCAAATCCCTCCAGTCTCGTTGGCAACGTCAGGACATCCCAGAGCGCTGAGAAACTACCAACCAGGAGCCAGTGGCCCGCGTCGTGTGGCAGCGCGCTCCGCCTCCAACCAGGCACTAGGCAGAGCTCCCCTTCCTGTTCAAAGGAAACAGGGCTCCAGTTTACTCTGTGCACAAAAGAACTTGGGCATTCAGGGTGCTAGCTGAGGGTGTGTTCTACTAAAAAGTCCAAAGATAAGCTAAGCATTGACACAGGTCTTTAATTACTCAAAAAATGCCAGGCTGTCACTCTCTTCAATGTTAGACAAACAATTTTTCATTTTATAGTTATTGCTATTAATAGGTATTTATTGAGGACTATTAAAAGTAGACAAACCTACATTTAAAATATAGGGCAGGTCTGCTGAAAGTCTATTTGGGATATAGTCTAGTGCTCTAAATAAGTCACGTCATTTGCTACACCCCATCTATTTTTAGGGAGAACAAACATCAGTTAACCCATTTCAAGGAAGTTGATCTTTTCAGTCAGAAACCCTTTAAATGGTGTTGAGAGATACAAATAAAATTGTATTTTATAGAAATATACAGGAAACCACCTCAGCAAATGACTAGTAGCACCAAAGTTCAGTAATATTTCTCCCAACCCAAAAAGAATTTAATTGGAATGAATGCTAAATACCAATAGCTCAAGTAATAAACCCCTGTGATTATTAGCATCCAGGTTTTTAAAAAAACTTCTGTCAGTAAGTGAAACAGCAGTAAGTTTAATTGTGCCAGTTCAAGTTTAGAAACATTTAGTAAAACAAAATGAGTTTCAGAAAAATGATACGAATTTCAGATGCATTTCGTCATCCTAACAAAGAACCAAAAGCGTCCTGAAATAGAAGCACGGTGACTTTCCAGACTCGCATCCACCAGCACAGAGGTCCTTGAAGTGCTGAGGCAGGAGCGCAGGCTCAGGACTGGAGTCCTGGCCGTGTCACTCACCAAGGCACTGGGGTCCTCCTGTACCCTTAGGGAAACAGCAGCACATCCTTCTAGAATGTGTGAGGAGTATGTGGAGAAAGGACCTTAGCACAGAGCCAGGCACACAGCCAACACTCAATCAGTGAGAGTTCCACATTATTCAGGTATGAACTAAAGCTTCCAGAATACAGAGACTGGTTCAGCATAGTATTGACGGGTAGAGTTTCCTCTCCTTTGATAAACAGTCAGTCAGTCAGTCAGTCCCTCTTTCCAGGCCCACCTTCTGCCACTTGCACTCCCCACTCAGTTCTGCACCTAAAAATCAACAGCACCACACACTTCCTGGCATCTCTGGCCCAAAATACACCTCAGCTCCTTGACACTGGTGATAACACCTTCCCTGACGTTCCAACCACTTCCTCTTGCCACTAATGTGGTATCTTCTACCCCGTCCATGTCCTGCCTGCACTTGGTCCCTCAGACATCTCAGCTCCTCATCGGCTGGGTTCCTCATCAGCCCTGTGCCACGGACACAGCGGTCTTTCCACACTTCTTTCCAAACTGAACTATTCCTGAGT